GTATCATTGTCTGATTCAAAATTTTAAAAGAATTTCTTGAATTTTGAGATGCACCCCAAGCCATCCAATTGTGACATCTTTATAATAAAGATAAATGGCCTCTAAGTATGTAATCCCTATGTATAAGTGGTTTTTTTCTTTGATCAAGGATAAATTATAAATAGATTGTATACAATGAGACCATTTACCTTTGATACAATGAAGTTAAAATTACTTACAACTATTCGATGTGCGATCTGATAGCTTGGATGTGTTACAAAGTTCGAGATAATTTATTTTGAACTTTGAGCTTGATCAATGAAATAAATGTAGCTACCAAATTTTACATCTAATGATTGGGATTTTTTTGTGACTACCTTGTACCAAAAGCAAATATTTTTATGTACTTTCTCATTTACAAATTGCCCCTCATTGACTTTTATCCTACCTTGTGCCTTTCTCAAAATTGTAATAGATGGTGTTAAACGGCTAAAGTAAAAACCATTTCATGCTAGTGCAAGAGCATATTCTCCATTCACCCCCTTGGATCAAACTCAATTTACAAGTATTTTTAGGATCCCAAATTCGTAGATATAACCTATTAAACTAAGTGGCCAAGCGATCGACGAAAAAAAAAAAAAAGGAAAAAAAAAAAGAAAAAGAAAGAAAGAAAAAGAAATAAATATACATGCCTCAAAAAATATCTTTTGAATAAAAACCTTTCAAAAAAATTAACCTCATAATTGAACACCTAGTCAAGTCCTTGGATGTTTAGATCCAAGCTTGTAAGAGCTCAAAGTCCAATTGTTGTCGACAATTATTGGATGTTTAGATCCAAGTTTTTAAGAACTCAACGTCCAACTTATTTTTTTCTTTTGAAATAATCTTCAAATGATTATGAAGGGTGTCTCAAAAGTCATCTCTCAGCTCGGCGAGGAATTATACAGTGTGCTCCTGCAGGAGACGCACAATGTTAAAGGGAGTGCACCTTGGCAAAAGAGCATAAAAAAAGACCATCTGAGGCGGTGAATTTCCCTTGAAATTGGGAGAGAGAAAGAGAGAGGGGTAGGTATCAAGAAGAGCGAGCATCGAGCTGCTAAAGGGAGTGATCGAGCTTAAACCTGATTTTAATCTGCAATTTGTAGAGAGAGAAAGAGGAAGCTGCAATTTGTAGGTAGTGAGAGGAGATGGATCGGCTTCAGCTGCTATTGGTGGGGTTGCCTCTGTTCTTGTTCTGCTCCGATGTTGTGAATCTCTTCACTTCCTCTCCTCCTCCAAAGCCCCATCAACACTCTCATCGCCACCACCATCAAATCCCTCCAATCCTCAAGGACACCACTCCAGACTTTTCAGCGCAGGTTATTTCTCTCTCTCTCTCTCTCTCTCTCTCTCAGGCACCCAATCTCTCTCTTCTTTCGATCAGTCACTAATCTCTCTCTCAATTCTCTTCATTTCTCACTTGATGCGGAGGTAGTTCTCTCTCTCAAAATACTAAGATTTCTATGTTTTTTCTTTCTTCGCCTTTGTGGTGTTTTCTGTTTCATTCGATTGCAGATAGTCTAACTAAGATAGATGATTCCATGTGCCCTAATCTCTCTCTTTATTCTGTATAGAATGTTCAGCCTATTCCTGGTGGAGTTGGGCTTGGAACAACAGTGAGAATTGAATTTTGCACCTCATGCTCTTACAGGTATCACAATGAACACCAATCCTTTATCTTTTTCTTTTCGTTGGTTTTGTAGAAAGTGCTTTCCTTTTTTTTGGGATCGGTAATTATTCTGTTTTTTCTCATTGTATTACTGAATTAAGCATTTAGGTTGATACTAGTTCTTAAATGGCTATTGGTTCTTTTACTTCCATTTCATATTTGCTGTTTTTTACATGGTGAGGCGGTATGGATACCGTTCTTCCGTGACATCAAATGGGTCATGGTTGTTGATATGATTATTGGTACCTGATCCTCAGTAGTTCAGTCTAGAATTCTGGTTTGCTTAGTTTTTGTAATTTGGGAGATTGTTGATTTGAAAGAGTCTAACGTCTGTTGATCAGCATGTAAACCATGCCAATCTATTCTATATATCTCAACATCAGGAAGCTTTTTATCTAGGAGTCCTTTTATTGAGGAAGCAATTGGCATATTAGCATTATGCATTAATTCAGTGAATTAGAGAAAACGACTTAAGAAAAAAGAGTAACTGTTATTTTAACAACTTAGGTAGATGGCTCCACCACCCTCGGTGGTTGCTCCATGCTGTATGAAAAAAGGGACTGAAGCTATACTTTGTATGCATATAGTGTTCAGGTATTCAGGCCTTACCTTCTTCTATGGGTGATGGAGTTGAGTAACTGCTCCCACCCAAAAAAAATGGAGTTATAAAACAAAACAACAACTGATTAGCCACAGTCCTTGGATAAACACAGATGGTGGACTGCCTTGGATAAACACTGTTATGGAATATTTTCTTTTAAGAAAAACGGATCATTTTACAGCTATTGTTACTTAATGATTGCTAGGATTAGCGTTCTTGTCGTCTTATTTTCTCATGAGTAAAATGCTTGTGTTCTTCTTTGTTAAGTGTCTTTGAAAATTATCTTAAAAGAGCATCGTATCCTTGAAAACCTGTTTGTGGATAAAAGGAAAAAGATAAAGCTAACGAGGAACCCAATTGGCATTGCATCTGCGTTAGCTTCCGGAAAATAGTCATTTAAGTTTTTCACTTATGGGCTTAAGGCATTCTTAAGGCGTTCTTTTTGTTTCGTCACATTTTCATTTGGGTGCTGCCATCTCCTGCTTATCAACTTCAAAAATTTGTATTGACAATATTTCAAACTGTTCCCTTCCTCACCATGATGTGGATAACATTAACAGCATCATGGCTTTTATGTTTATGCTGAGTTAGTCAATTACCTGTCCAAATCAACTCAGATATGGAAAAAGAAAAAACCCTTATCAATATTTACTAGAAGAGTGTATATGCCCAATTGACACAATATCTTAAAGAATCAGGTTGGAAGCCTTTTTCATCCATCTCTTGAAAGATATTTCCCGCATCCTAACCTTGAGCTTCTCACAAAATGCATCAATCAAGATGTTAAAAGTTAGCAACAGTGGGAGGGGCTTTAACCTGCTCCATCTTTCCCAAAAGCTGACAGGCTTTTTTGAACCTTTTCTTTCAGAGTTCATGACAAAGTGCTAAAACCAACAACGTCTGGGGTTAACCCAGCATTTCCCTTCTTTTCAAGGAGTTAAGAAGTTTCTTTGACCTCTATGCCCCTTGCAAATACTCTCCATCAGTATGTTATAGGTGATAAAATTAGGCGTATACCCTTTGACCACCATTAACTTATTGATTTTACCAACCTGGCAAAGCCTATTCAACACCAAATTGTAGGTCATTACGTTGGGAGCTACACTATGTGTCCTAATTTTCTGTATAATATCCAAAGTTTTATCCAATTTTAAATGCTCATGTAACAATCAATCTGTGGGTAAAAACATCTGGAAGAAAACCCCTCATTATAGCATCATTCATGAGGCCATGGGCATCAATAACCTTACCCCTTTTGCACAACCGTTAGTAATTATGTTTAAGGTCACATGTTTGGCTTGCAACCATAACATTTCCCTGACCAACTGAATCACCTCCATTAGCGGCCTAGATGTATCCTTAATAAGTTTATTACTTGCTGCAATTTCTACAATTTCAGGTCACCGTCTTTACATAACCTATTTATCATTGAGGAACATGTTGTTCATTCTGGGAGAAACCCTTTATAAAATTCATCTCAGAAACTTTCTTGAAATTTCCTCTTGATGCTTAAGTGGAAATCATCATGTTCCATAAAACCATATCCTTAAGCTCCATCTTTTCAAATAATTTCTTGATTATATCCATTCTAGCACAGCTAATTACCATATCAATTGCAGCTTTATGAACAAATGGGCCACAAAGCTTTATTGAAAATCTGGATTATGGGCCTTGCTTGTATCAAATGAGAATCATGACGAGAGAGGGAGGGGGGGGGGGGTCCCCATCGAATCCAAAACAAAGAGAGACTCAGAATCTCCAACATCCAAAATTTGAGAAGGGCCCAACTAATTCAAAACTGATAAGTTGTCACGCAATTCAGAATTCCCAACATCAAAACTCGAGAGAGAGAATTAACCCAACTCCTTCTAGTGAACAATACCAAAACACCATTTCCACCAGGTTTTCATGTTCCACCTCAGAATTATTTGAAAACATGACCTCTGAGACAGCAGTTTTGAATTTTGAGAGCACTTTCATGATCCAAATATCACTTGCCTTCGCCAAATACCCAATTACCCCAATAATCTCAAAATCCTAACAAATTCTGTTGCTTGATCTCACCACATGTTGAAAATCTGGTTAACAGCTCTACCACCAAGCTTTAATGGCCCTCTTCCATAAAACCGCCATTTGTTCCTCTAGATCAAGGCTTAATTAACTCCCTTTCCTTGGTTGATCTGCCATGGCGAACAGGTTGGGGATGAGTGATGCTTGTTTTTGGTGCTAGAAAACACAGACAAGAGAGGGAAACAGAGGAGTAGAAGAAGATGTGAGAGAGAACAGAGGAGGAGAAGACAGACACCCGGGGGGGGGCAGGGGAGACCAAGTTGTATGTGTTTGTACCTCTCTCTCAAAGTGATATTCCAAGAAGTTACAAAAGGGGAAAAATAAAAAAATTCTTGAGTTCATTTTGCCATTTCTCCATTTATTGATGTGTTTTAGACCACTAATTTGCATCCATATTTACCTTTCAAAACGAAAATAAAAATATGGAATCTATATTTCCCTTGTATTATTGTACCGATATTACTTCTAAATTTCTTTTTCATTGTGCACTTTGTTATTGGCCAATATGATGCCTTTGAGAGAAATGGAAGTCTTAACAAACGGTTCATCATTATTGATTATTTTATTTTATACTTGTAAGGAAGTATTAGTTTAAGAAACATTGATTTGCGATTTGTGCTATCCATGTTTTTGTGTATGTGTGTGTGTGAGTGAGTGAGTGAATATGTGTGAGAGAGAGAGAGATGCATGCGTTTATGTTTTTCATGATATGTTGGCGTGTCTTCTTGATTGTTACCTTCTTGCTTATCAGGGGAAATGCATTAACAATAAAGAAGATGTTGGAAACTTCTTTCCCTGGCATTGATGTTGTGCTTGCAAACTACCCCCCACCCCTTCCAAAACGCCTCCTAAGCAAAGTGGTGCCGGTTGCCCAAGTTGGGGTTATTGCAATTGTAATGGCAGGAGAACACATTTTCCCGAGACTAGGATATATGACACCACCCCCATGGTTCTTCTCCTTGCGCCAAAATAGATTTGGCACAATTGCAACCACTTGGCTTCTTGGCAATGTGTTGCAATCTTTTCTTCAAAGTTCTGGAGCTTTTGAGTTGTACTGCAATGACGATCTGGTAAGAACTTCTTTATTGCGAAATAGATTGTTTATATTTCCATTGTGAAATTTTGTTTGAATACTTCTCATAGTTACTTATGTCATCCTTTTTATTTATAGTAATGATTATGATATTTTGTTAATTAGCATTAAATATAGCAGTGTTTTGATCTAAGTGTGCCATATTATTGCTCTGAATCACAAATATTATATTATTTCAGCAATAACGATCTTTTCCTTGTGGTTGCACTCTGTAATGTATATGCATATTTTCCTTTTTCTTTCTATAAGTATTGCAGGATAAAAGTTTATTACTGCAAAATATGTAACCTTGAAAACATTTGGTTTTGCGTGTGACTTGTTGTGTAAGCAATCAGTCTTATGGAAGAAGATTTGCTTCTAACTTACCTTTTAGAGGTGATGCTGCAATTATACTTTGGGTGAAATATGTTACAATCTTCAATTGCCTGAAAACGAAGCTGGTATGAATAAGTATGCTGATCAAAGTCCCAGCAGAAAAGGATTGATAGTCCCTTTTAGTGCAATCGTGCATTAGTGTGTGTTGTGCGTTTGCAGATGCACACTTTGCTGTACATAAGCTGATACTCTTCAGGAAATAAATGCATATGCTGGTATGCATGTATTTGAACTATCTCCTTATTAATAGTATTCCAAGGTGTTGGCATGCTCGCCCATCAGTGTTTTAAACTCGGGCTGTGGCCTGGAACCGAGCGGGGGCCCAGGTCTGAGTTAGTGAGTCAGACTTGGCTGAGTCCGAACCGGAATTGGTTGAGTCTCCAAAAGTTTAAGAAAGAAACCTTGGTAACCGCTGAGAATTGGTTGGTACCCATTTTTTTTCACCTGGATCCAGTGTTTCAAAAAGCGGACTGCCCAGCACCTAGGCAGCCGCCTAGGCGGTCTAGAAGGTCTGGGCGCATCGCTCAGGCCTAGGCGGCCAAATTAGGTGGGTATCCTTGGGTGCCTGCCTAGGCGCCTGGGAACCCACCTAGGCGCCCGCCCAGCGCTTGCTCCCCTCTCAAAGGCAGAAATGCCGCTCATTGAGGCTATTTTTGGGTCATTTTTTTTAATACTAAAGGTGTAAATTATGGGTTTTAGGTTTCAAATGAACCTAAAACCCATTAGAGGCTATTTTAGAGAGAGAAAACCCAATTTTTTTTTTTTCTTACTAGGCCGCCTAGGTTTTGGGCGCCTGCCTAGGCGCTGGGCGGCCTAGACCCCCCCAACCACCTAGGTGCCGCCTAGCGCTTTTTGAAATGCTGCCTGGATCTGACACCCTCTAGGTTCGAGTGACTTGCCCGAGTCTGTGTTGAATCAGCCAGTTTTATAACACTGATACACGACTTGATGTCAGGGTTCCTACATTGGGCAATGATTTAATTGGTGTGATTGATACCTCTTTAGGTAGCACGGTACAGACTCAAGCAAGTCGACTAGGACTCACTCAAGCCACTCAGCTAGCCCGGGGTGCGAGTACTGCAGCAAAGCCATGCTGACTTATATCATCCAATACTTACACCAAGGATCACTCTAATCTGAGTTGAAACTGTAATCTATATACCATAGGCATCCCAGTGGGGAATAAAGACAATCTCGACATATCAATGGCTGTGGTTATGAACCTATTGCTTGAGTTGCTCCCCCTAAATGATATATAAAATATGAGGAAAATGAGAGAAAAATAAAATAAAAATGCCTAAATATTGTTTTCTCAAAAAATGAGAAAATATAGAGAAATATTATGGTATATTTGACAAAATAGGAATTTAGTTTTCAAATTCAGAATGAAGGCATCACTGGCTTTCTATGTATTTGGATTATATGCCATTCTCATAAGTGTTTTTCTATATCTGTTTGACTGTCTACCCGTATTTCAAAATGTTTATAGATTTGAAATACATGATCGTTAGGCTAACAAAATCAGAATATATTTATCTTATCAGATAAATATTTGATTTGTATCATTTTACTCTTTTTCACCATTACAGATAGACATTACATGTCAAAAGTCAACGACAATGTCAATAATTTAGGAAAGTATAAACCCTTTTTTTTGTGTGTGTGTGTGAGAGAGAGAGGGATCACTCATAGGTCTAGAAGAGCAAAGACACACTTTTTTGGACACCTATATACATTCAACAAAAATGAGCATATGGGGAGAATATATCACAGGTATATTGGAGCCCAAGGACAAGAAAGGAGTATAGAAGCTCAATGCACAGTAGATAAGGCATTCTACACGTCCATCATTTTGGAAAGGAGCCTAGTAGCTCACGCACAGGAGATGAGGTGTTCTACACATCCGTCGATTTTCACAATTAACAAATTTAAAATTCTCAGTTCATTAATAATTTCAAGGAAGCATGAATATTTCAACTTTTCTTCCTGATGCATGTTAAAGAGAGATCCAAAGCCTGTGCTTTTTTAGCCTAAGTTTGATCCAAAGCTGTGATTTTTTGAGGCTACCCATTCTTTGATTCAAAGCGGCTGAAAATCTGAAATAAAATGGAGGAATAAGGGAAGTATCACCTTTCTTTATATTCAAAGGTCCCTGATTCTAGGTGCCCTTATCCTTCACAGGAACCAGTGATTCCAACCTATCGGTTACCTTAGAACAAGTAGCTTATCCCTCGTTAATGGCGATTTGGGGAAGGCTCAGATTTTGTCAGGTTTTAGGGGGAAAAAGAGGTGAATCATTTCATGGAAAGTGGAGATGATCTAAAGTAGAATATGATGAAAACAGTAGATCACAGAGCTCTTGAGCAGATTTATCAACTCCGACTTTTCACTCTTCTGAAAGTGGTTTCATTTCTTCCTGCTGCTAGTCATCTGGTTCCTCTCTCTCTCCCCTCCCCCCCTCCTCTCTCTCTCTCTGGCCTGTTAGTCGACTTAGGGTCCTTGAGCTTGAGTTTGTGATTGCTTGACCTCCCAGACTAGGGGACTTTTGGAACTATACTGAGAGAGAGAGCGCATGTTGTCGGGAGACTGGAATAGGTTTTTGAGAGTTCAGAGAGTGAAACAGAGAGCTGATGTAGCCTCTATGTGGGAGAGGGAGAGAGAGGACGCTTTGAGAGCAAGAGAAGTCAAACCAAATCCTGCAAGATTGCAAGACGGAGAAACACTGACCTGCAAGTTAGTGTTTTTCTGCATTAAGTTAGCGTTTCTCTGCATGGTCTAAAATCACGTTTTTTTTTTTTGAGGATCATGATATATTTGAAACTTTTGTGTCATGGTTTGGTGCTATCAAACACATTTTTTAGCATATTGATTTACAAAAAGATTGAATCTCATAATATCTTGTGTATCCAAATATTTAGGGGTCATCAAACATACCCTTAAAAACCTTAAAATAAAAAATATTCATAATTAATTAGGAGCGAATTATAATTGATTCTGCTTTTGTGTAAATCTGAGGGGGCCTACCTTAAAATTTTATTGAAATAAAGATAAAAAATTACAAATAATCTTACAACCCTATCATAGGGAAAATTGGCAATATGAAAAGGAAGTAAAAGAATAATTAAATCCGGCGTCTGAGCTTCCCGAACTGTAGCTTCAGAAAGAGTGACTACCCTCTTAGATAGGCAGTCAGTGACCTCTTTCCCCTCCCGATATGTGTGTAAAATTTTCCATTGAAGTAATAATTGATTCAATGGAAAATTATAATTGGTTTAATTTTTAGCAAATTAAAAATGATTTAGTAAAAAATAAATAAAATATATGAATTTAAATTGAAAAAAATGAAGCTTTACTCAAAATTTTGATGTTGAATCCCAATGGGAACCAATGCCTCCAATCTTTGTTATAATTTCTTAGAAAACCTCAATCAAAACTCCCAAACTAGATTTGGGTTTTGAGTTTGGATCTAGGTGGTCTGTGTCCTGTGGGATCCTATATTGCTGCAATTGAATAAATGTACATGAGTATTTTACCTCCAATAAACTGATGAGGCAGCCAACTCTTTTTCTGATGCTCATTACCAAATGGGCTATTTTTCATTTCTATTAAAAAAGGAAAAAAAGAAATTCATGTTGTTCATTTATGTGCGTTTATGTTTCACTAGTGCCTGGTTTGGAGCATTGTTTTGTAGTTTGTTGTGAACTTGTGCTAATTGTTGCCGGCCATTGGTTTTAATAGTGAAAATATGAGTGTCACACCCACTTTATTGTCTGTTATCTTCACCTTCCACATACATTGATCATACACGCGTCAAAGTATAAATTCCCAGTTAGCTTAGAATCTTTGGTCTTAGATGTTGTCCGCACTGAACATGGCATATTGTCATTTGCTTAGATTGTGCATTTTGTCCAGTACACCAATAGGTGAAAATCCGAGGAAATATAGGCCGTTTATTGCATGCAGCACGCATCAAGCTAATGACTTAACTAACCCTTGGCATTTGTATACAAGGTAAAATGCCTTGAGCACATACCATTCTTACTTCTACACGTTTATGTAAAATACCGTATAGCCAGTCTAAACTCTGTGATTTTCAGTTTCAAAAAACTAAGTGTCTCCGTTGACTCCTTTCATTAGGAGAAACATCTTTTGATGCCAAAAAGATGTGTAAGAGTGAGAAGTATAGTTACGAAGGTTTCTCAGATAAAATTTCTAGTGAATAGATTTGCTGCATTTTGGTGGAGCTCTGTAAATCTGCCAAGCTTGAAATCTTGTTACATCTGGCAAATTATGGTTTCTTGAGTCTTGAAGCCCATTATATCCTGTCTCAATAATATGCAATAAGATCTGTTGTTTGATTGGTTTCCCATATTCCTCTTTCTTAACTGTTATTGCTTTTTATCCATTTTTAATAATGTAAGCCTTATAAATCTATTTGGTCATTCTTGGATATTGTTCTTTAATAGAAGTTCGGTGTTGAATGTAGTGTGGTTGAATGAGGAAGTATTTGATGTAATAAGCCTCAAAAATGGCAAGTGGTGAAATAGTAGTGAGTAGAAGCCTGAGAAAGTGAGGCTAAGGAGGAGAAGGAATTTCAGTCTAGGAATTTGCTTTTGTTCTGAAGTAGGGAGAGGGGGGTTAATGAAGGCATGACTATGGGAAATACTTCTGAAAGAAAAACTGCTACAGGAGCCCTAACAGTGCGGGAAAATCACTTACTTAAACTTGTGAGAGAACAGATAGGAATGCAATGGGCTGCTTATTAGCTCATGGGTAGCAGGGATGTATTTGTCCTTTCCCAGAAGTTTAATTTCTAATCATGTATTTAATCCACGGAATTTTGTTTTGTCAGATCAGGCCCATCTTTTATAAAAACGATAATCAATGTGTTGTATTTGATTGCTTAGATTTGGGCTCAACTTTTCTCCTTTCTCTATGATGGCTGAACTTGTGCTAGCTAATTCTGTTGAATTAAATTGAGACAAGTATTTATTTTTTACCATTTATTTTAAGACACTTAATTTAGTAAACACCATTTGCACACCCGTATTTTGATATTTCAAAATATCAAATATTTCAGGCCTAGTATTGCCATCCATGTTTTTGGTTGAGATTGGTGGGCCACCGAATTTATGGGGACGTGTGGGATAATATATGAATTAGACTAGTTGATCTGAACATGAAACAGTCGATTTTGAATACATTTGATTAAGAAACCCATGGGCTAGACCATTTATCCGTCCATAGTTATTGATCAGACTTGATTTGCTACTGTGGTGGTTGGGGACTGGCGGACTGCTTACATTGTTTATAAAGTGAAATAAGTGATGGTTCAGCTTATCTGAATATAACAATGTTATATGTGGAAGAGATGATTGTCACATCTGGGGAAACATGCTACTACCATCATTATCATCAAAGCCTTTTCCGAACTAATTGGAGTCGGCCAGGAAAAATGCTACCATAAGAAAAAAAATCCATTTTACATTAATTTTCATGATAATTCATCTAAACCTATTTTTCTGTACATCAGTTTCCCCTTAATTTCTCATATAGTAATGATCCTATGAGACCCTCCCATACCCATGTGTATAGGACCCCAAAGGATCACCATTAAATTTGGCACAAATCTCTAAAAAAGTCAAGTCCCACACCCATGTGATAACTTTTCTAGAGATCTTTATCACATTTAATGTTGATCCTTTGGGGTCCTACACACATGGGTGTGGGACATAGGATCATTACTCTTTCTCATATTGCTCTATGTGAACCTCTGTTTGGAACCATCTGCAGTTTTACATGTAATTGTTGTTCAAGAGTATTGATACTGGATTCATCTGGCATCGTTGAACAATTTGAAGTCATATTTAATCTGGCTCATGTGCCTTTTTTACTTCAAGTTTTATAAAAATTGTGATAATGGGTTGATATACCATTAGTTGTAAGGTGTTTGAGCAAACACTTTTTCATGTCCATGTTTTCTTGGAGCAAATTCATGTTTTAATCTCGTTGATTTTGAGGTTTGGGTTTCTAACCTTCTCATTCCAAAGTTGTTGCTCTTTACGGTCACAAATTTTTATTATGATCATAGATATACTCAGGATCCTTTTTGATCTTGTTGAAAACCTCTGTAATTATGTTGCATCTCACAACTTTTCACAAGGTTTGAACTAACACTATATTTGATTGTTGGTGGAGTTTTAATGGTTTGGTTTGTGATCCTTAGATTTGATGTTACAATTGTAGGTGTTCTCAAAATTGAAGGAGGGCAGATTCCCTAGTGAGTTCGAGATGAGGGACATTATCAGCAAGAAATTGGCCAATACGAGAGTTGCAGATGGCCTTGAAGGACTGTGGTTCTAGGGAAGCATATCTTAGATCACATCGGCTGTAAATGCGTGTTTGTATGACTTGCTATGTGTTACAATATTCCAATTAGTCATATTTTGCTCTGGAAGTTTTTGTAACTAGTCACGGTTTATTTAACAGTATTCCTATCTTTAGTTTTCCTTTTATTAACAGTTGTAACTAGCCTTGTGTGTGATGTGTTCATGAACTTACTGTAGCAGAAACACATGATCCTCTAGATTTCAACTGCAGACAGCCAAAAAAAAGGGGAAAAGAAAGTATATTCCAACCATGGATGGATGGGGCCTGTCTTACCACCACCAAGAGTCCGCATTCGTCAGGTCCATGGATGACATCTGGTGCTGGGGTTATGTGTTATTTGCTAGAGCTTTTAAATACAAAAAGGTTTCCATGGAAAAAATAGTAGTAAAGATCTTGTAGGGGACTCAGAGACTGATTTTGGGACAAACATACAAATGGTGTATCATTATTATTATCATCTGAGCTTTATCTCAATTATTTGGGATTGGTTACACAAACCTTGTTTCGCCAATTGGTTCAAGATTTATGAGAAGATGTGGAAAAATTTTATATTAGCTGCCCTACTTAACACAAACCTCCTCTATCCGGGCTTGGGATCGGCCATGATGGAGTTTCATGCAAATGTTAAATGAAATGATGAAATAATTGTTATAGATCCATGGAGGCCTCCAACAAGAAGATTTTAAGACAAATTTCGAAGAATGAGGGAGAAAATCGAGAAGAAGCGGATGGGGGTTTGGAGTTCAAAAATGATTTTGAGTTTTTTTAAAAATATGTTTTGATCCAGAAATTCTCTAGGGTTTTTGTGGATTAAAGAAGGGAACAATTTGGGATGAGCATGAGTGCATACATTGAAGACAGCCAAAACCACATGGGTGGTGTTTAAGCTTCATTTCGGGAAGGTCCACAACCATGTGAACTGAGCGGTATCGAATGAGGTCATTGTCTTTCGGTCCAAATGGAGGCAGTGGATTAAAGGCTGCATCTGGGCTTCCTGCTTAATTAATGGAGCCACCAAGGGTTTCTTCTCATCCTCTAGCGGCTTTCACCAAGGAGACCTCTCATCTCCTTTTCTATTTGCACTTCAAACTCCCAAGCAAAGGGCCATAGATTTCGCACCTACAATTTGCCGAAACCCTGATCTTCTGTGGTGCCACTGAGTATGGATATCCTCTGGCTATTCCTCAAATGTCTAGAGCTAGCTCCTGGATTCAAAGTAAACCTAGAGAAACTCGAGGGATTTCCTATAGTCGGGCTCAGATCATCATCACCATCCCACACCTATTGGTTTAGGATATCGTCACTCTGCCAAGCGTAGAGTCTCAACATTCAGAACCTTAGACCTTGCGACTTGTGCCCATTTCTTAGTACTCCGACAGCCATCTCACAAGCAGAGATGTTCATATTCAAGTAATATTAAAGTACATAAACAAGTTGACATATATAAAAAAGGGAAAATTTTGTATAACCCTAATTTTTCATATAATTTCATAGTAGACTTTCCTTCTATTTTTCTTTCAAGCGGCATAATGAAACTTTTAAAGATTTCCTCATACCCTCTCATTTGTTATCTCTCTTTTATTGACTTTTGATCGTAAAAATTAACTTCAAAAAGTATTTTTATACCATTTCAACAAAAAAACGTTTTTAATGGATCGAAAGGGAAAAAGAGGTTTAAAAAAGCTTTTGAGTTGAAATGGTATAAAAAGATTGTTGGGGTTAATTCTTATGGTCAAAAGTCAATAGGATGATAAGAAATGAGGGGCTGCAGTGAAATATTTAGGGATTTTTTTATGTCGTTTGAAATAAAAATAGGAAATGTTTCTATACTTCCTCAACAACATAGAAGATCATGTTTCCCTTACCATCTAGCTGTCCAATTTTGATCAAGAGAGCTACTCACT